TTCAAAAACTTCAGTCTTTCTATCTTCAAGAACTTGAGTGCTTGTGAAGAAAGACAATTTTAAAGCCCAATTAATTTGCCTAATGATCAAGTAATTTGAAGTTGAGTCATTTTTTGGAAGGGGGTATGTCACAGCCTCCAAGATTGAAACAAAACAAAACACAGACCATGACTTTTTTCCATTTGGAACCACAGTTTAGAGTTGCTAACCTTCACTCTCCATTTTGCTGTTTAGAATGTTAGAGAGAAACATGGAACTGGGTGATCAGAACCAGAAAATAGGAAGCTAAGTTCTCATATTAAAACATTAGTATTATTGGATGTCAAAAGGATTTCCCAAACTTATGTTTGACCTGCAGTATTGGAGATGGCTTACCTTACATATAACTTCAAGTTTGTTTCACAAAGTTTTGAAAAGCAAAATAGGTATTTTCAGACATAATAAAAAAAAAAAAATCTGAATAGCAAAATACGTTAACTGCTTTAAAACGTACAGCAGCGTTTCCATACTAAGAGCAAAGCCTAGTCTATGTTAGGAAAACTTTTCCAACATTGCTCATTGTCTCCAGAAGTAGCTAAAATAAAATCTACCGTAACTTCTATGAAGTGACCTCTGGTTCTCTTTCATACACTTCAGGCCTTCACTCCCCCAGTGGGAAGTCCTAGTACATTTCTTTTCCTTTGGAGACAGGCTGGCTGTGAACCTGTGATGTCTCCACCTCCTGAGTGCCTGGCTCCCTTATAGGTATGCAGATGCAGTTGTACAGGCTCTCATGCAGCTCAGGCTGGCCTCAGACTTGCTATGGAGCAGAGGAAAATCTCAATCTCCAGATGCCTTTGCCTCTGCCTCCCAAAGTGCTAGGCCTACAGGCACAAGCCGCATATCCTTTTGATGCAGTGCTAGGGGCGGAGCCACACCCCAGCCCTTCTTCATACGCACTTCTGAGAGCTCCTTGCAGTGGGACACAGAAAATGTCTCTTCTGGCAAGTTTGCTGTTTTGAGTGTTTCAGCATCGTCACTCCAAGTAACAAAATCAGTCTTCCATGAGGATGGCAAGAAGACCCTGATTAAGTTCTCTTTTGATAAACTGATCAGCATGGTCCTTGGAAATAAAGTTGACAATTCTAGGGCTAAAAACGTAAATCAACAAATATTCACATCTACGAATCTTCAAACGTTGTCTCCTAAGCAGAAATGTACCAGAAAATGGGAGCAAGGATAGGACCTTGAAGTAAAGCAAAAGCAAGTCTCACACTGTGAGATAGCCTCCCTCCCTGGAAGACCTACTCGTGTTTCCTGGAAGGGAGCCCTTCCTGTGGAGAAAGCCCCACTTGTCTAAACACGGAGGATTTATGAGTGGGAACAGAACTATGGTGCTGCAGTTGAGTCTGGGCAGACTAGCCATGCCAGGGTACTTCCTGTTGGTTGTATGTTTCCCCCAAATATATGAACAACACACAAGACCCTCTGCCCTCCAAGACAAGCCAGAGCACACCCATTTCCTCTGAATGACAGAGACCAGGCAGCTTGGAAGAGGCGCTTACGGAATCTACTTGACGTTAGTGTCTACTGACTCTTCACAACTGTCCTTTCAACTGAAAGCATCAAGCTAGCAGGTTTTCTCCCCAGCCCTAGTTCTGTGAACTAGCTTATAACCATATTAGTTGTTTTTTTCTTCCCGGTAACGGGTTCTGTTCAACAGAGTGGAACACGTTACAAGGAATATGAAGGAGGGTGTGAGGTGTACAAAACCACACTGACATCACAGCTTACAAAATATATCAAGGTTCTCAGCATTAACAGTTTTTGCAAGAAGTCGTATGCTTTTACTCTCTCTTTAGCATTTCCCCACGCCTGTTTTCTCCTGTGGATCCTCTGGAGTTAAGACTGAGCTCTACTGGCAGTTTCTGGAACTTACTGCATGATTGGGACAGACCAAGGGAAATTCCTGTCCAAAGCAACGAGTACGATGAAGTTGGCCTCACACACATAGGAGTTTATTTACAGTCAGCTTTGCCAGACACTACACTCGGACCACGTCTCCTTCTGGAATCAATTTCCTGACATATGCAAGGCGTGGACTGCCCCATACTCCACATGTCAGTCTCTCTACACACATTTAGCGCTCTCATGTTTATGCCTTTAATATTAAGTGCTTTACATATCAAGTTGTCTCACACATCTTATGCTGAGCCCTTGCCTGCCAGGCTGAAGTAGAAAGTCCACAACTTGAAGAATCTGACGTCTGTCATAAGGTTAAAAATACACTTAAAAGTCTTCGAAAGAATTCCATCACGTCAACTAGCATGCTAATGGTTAACTATTAAGTTAACTAATAACTGTTAACTAGTTAGACTGTTAACAAGTAGCCTGAGATGTCAGCATTTTTGACCATAACACAGTGACACTGTGCTAAGCATCTAAGAAGTCTTGGTAACCACTATAGTCTGCTTCCTAAGAAAAACACATCTTTGAATGTGTTCCTCAGAGGACTGCCTCTGAGGAAGACTTGAAGCCACCCCAGTAGTAGCAAGACGCCTCAATAAAATGGGAATCAAATGAGGAACCGGGAGCACAGGTCTGTCTCAATTTCATTTAAAAACAAGAGTGGTGGCTGAAGTATATCAGCATGTAGTTGTGTACATGCCTGTGTCTAAGCAGCCAAAAGGCAAATGACCAAAGCTCTTCCTTGGGATCAAAGCTGGTGTCTGGGTGGGCTCCCGGAGTCCTGTACCTTATTTCAGTTGCTTTTTGGCAGGTCAGAGCTCTCACAAGAGTCCACCATTATGACTCATTCCTTCAGGAAGAACCTTAAAGTATTTCTCTACCTCCAACCCACTGCTGAAAGTGAGTCAGGCATGCTCTTCAGAGCAGCTCTGCTGGGCTGGCTAGAAATACCCAGCACTGAGCTCAGAGCTCAGGCGCCCAGGGACCTGGGACTGGTCTAAGAAATAAAGTCAAGAGGAACTGGACAATGACTGCTTGTAGGAGTCTAGTCTGACCTGGAGGTGAGGCCACAGGCGCCCATCTGATGAGACCTGCTGTTGTGTCTCATGGACTTTGCTGCTGGTCAGTGAACAACTGGTGCAAGATGCTCTTAGTCAATCCTTGAGGGGAAATCTTAAACCAGGTGCTCACGTCAACAGTCTTCAAGTTTGTCTTTAGCTTATGTTTCTAGGGTTCTGCAGCTGCCTACATTATCTGAATGCTTTCATGGACAGAGCTCTCTATCCAGGCCCCTGATACCTGCATAGTCCACGATACCTGGGTCTCCTGCATGTGTTAAGTCTCCATCAGGAGCTTCTGAGAAGCCACCTGCAGAGATGACAGGAAAGGCTAAAGTCCCCTAACTCCACTTCATGAGAAACAGAAAAGACACTGTGTACTATGAAATACAGTGACACCACCAACCCCCCCACAGCGTGGCGGTGAACTTCTCAGTGCATCAGGACATCTTCTGTTATTGCCAGCTAATGATAACAGATGCTTCTGCAAGTTTAGGGTCATGTGTGGAAAAAATGCTCCCTTAATTTTCCCTTTTTCTGAGAATTAGAAAAACAGACAAAACAACAAAATCAAAAAAACCAAACCAAACAAAGAAAAGAACAACAACAAAAACCCATCACATCTTTTGAATAGCATTAGCTAAGTTTTGAACAACTTGGAAAGTGCTCAAAACATCACGATTCAGTAGCTAATTGAAAAAGAGTGCTGGCCAAGGATAAGAGCTTTGCTATGGAATGTCACATACACAAATACTTTAGTGTTCATAGTTTTCTTATGTAGGTGGATAACAAGAATCATTTCTGGCTTTCTGTGGGATTTACTTACTGGTCCATGTCTGCAGAGTCTCTGCGGGTAGCTAACCACTTTTCTTTATATTTAGGACAGTAACATCGACCCTAGGATAAGTTCTAGTGTAGCCTATGGCTCTGAGAGTCCCGTAGTTCAGGAACACACACGATTCACAGGTTCTATCACAACTGTGATAGTCCTGTTAGAAGGCCATCGTAGGGAGTGCCTTGTGCGTGTTCAGTATTACGTCCAGTGCTTGCTGTCAGAAATATATTTCTTGACAACTGAAGCATTTTTTTTTGGGGGGGGGGGTGTTGTTGGTTGATAAAAGCTTCCATACACTGAATGAGGAAAGATTAAATGAGTCTACAATCAAGTGCTAACTTGTGGAGAGTGCCCTCAGGAGTGCTAGAGTGCTTCAGGGACGTCAGAGAGGGAGAGAAGCATCTTGATTTGTTGCTACTTCAGTAGGACACATCTCACTGACGAGAGCAGGGTCACCCACATTTGTTAGTCCTTGGAACTACAAACTGGCACATATACCCTCCTTCAGAAAGACAGCAATCTTTGGTTTGATTCTGATCAGCACAGTTCTAGATTCCTATCGCTTTGGCAGGCTACCAGTGATCAGATACACAACTCTCTGGATCTATAACTTGCTCTAGCAGCACATCCCAATGTATTTTTTGTCCTAACTGTCTCTCTTCATTGAGAAATATACGTTGTCCAAGTAGGGCTTATTGGCAGCAAGTGGCTTTCTAACTTCAGTTAGAATTCAGAGCTAATCTTGATTCTCCAACTACGTGTTGTGGTTTCTGGAAGCGAACCTTAAAGGTGTACCCAACGTGGGAAAGCTTGCCATTTTATTGTGTGTGCTTTTATCTCGAGTGGAAGTATCCTCAAGAATATCCGTATGAGCAGCTCCCTCGCAAGTACTATGAGAATTACATGCCTACAGAGCACCGGAAGGTGCAACACTGTTGATGTAACTCTAAGGGTCCGTAAGTGTGACTTCTCAGACAACTTGACAGTGTTCTCACTTTTCCCTCAGTGGGCACGTAGGTCTGACATAATTCTGGAAACAAAAGGGGCGAAATGGCTTGAAGACACACTCCTGCTTTACACACAACTTTTCAGGAATGCTCCGAAGGCGTCCAGAGAGGCTGGGCTGTATTCTGAGGCTCTCTCTCTGGCATGGATTCTATGGTGCAGTGTGAGCGTTGAGCTTCTGGTGAAGGCTTTGCCACACTTAGTGCACTTGTAGGGCTTTTCTCGGGTGTGAATTCTCCGATGCAAAATAAGGTATGAGTTTCGGTTGAAAGCTTTTCCACACTCGCTACATTCATAGGGCTTCTCCCCCGTGTGGATTCTCTGGTGCTTCGTGAGGTCTGAGCTCTGGCTGAAGGCTTTGCCACACTCATTACATTCGTAGGGCTTCTCTCCAGAGTGGATTCTCTGGTGCAGAATGAGATTTGAGCTATGGCTGAAGGCCTTGCCACACTCATTACATTCATGAGGTTTCTCTCCTGTGTGGATGCGCTGATGCAGGACAAGGTTTGAGTTGAGGCTGAAGGCTTTCCCACACTCGTTACATTCGTAGGGCTTCTCTCCAGTGTGGATGATTTTATGGCGGATGAGGCTTGAGCTTCTCGTGAAGCATTTCCCACACTCATCACATCTATGAGTCTTTGCTCCCGAGGGAACCTCTTCCGGTGTGTTATTAAAGTTTGCACTGAGGCTGAAGCTTCTTCCCAAACCTTTGCCCTTCTCCCTGGGGGCTCTCTCTCCTGTGGTGGGCCTTTTTTCCTTGGCTGTAGGTGGCCCAGGCTCTTTCTTCTCTTTGCCAGTTTTCTCCTCAGGGTTTTTCTGTTGCCTTTCAACTACTCTGCCCTGCTGTTCACGTTTCTCTCCAAATTCTTTCTGGCATCTTCCTACTGTTTCCCCATGAGAGGTGGTGGAATCTTCTTTGACTTCAGCCTTTGAGGCTGACTCATTCCCATTCCTGTTTTCAGAACCTGACATGATAAACAGAAAATATGAATAGCACTGTTTTCTTATGAATACAGGTGTTAATACAGTGACATTATTTTCTAAGAAGCTTCTATGTATCTGGGAAAATGACTTCATAGGATTAAAGATAAATGCAGAAAAAGGGGAATAAACACTGGGATGGAGGTGGAAAAATAATCATAGCATTGGCAAAGAGAACAAATAAGGCCAGGCATTCATAGTGGTGCCCAGCCAGCATTCAATAGGTTGCGGCCGGAGAATCACCACTGACAGATCAGTCTGGGCTACATAGCAAGACCTAACTCAAAGGAAAAAAAAAGTGAAAAGAAAGTGAATAAACCGGCACGGTGGGGAGTGAGTAGAGAAAGTTCAGGATAAGGAGCTGACATGTGTCAGGGGCTCCTCTATTACTCGGTTACTTGCTAACTAATTTGAAAGAGACTGTATTTAACAAGTCATGGTTGGGTGTAGTGACACACACCTTTAATTATCACAGTGGAGGTAGGGGCAGGCAGATCTCTGGGAGTTCAAAGCCAGCCAGGGCTACACAAAAATAAAATATAAGAAATAAGTCAAATTGCATTTCCAGCAAATATCTGCAAGTCTTACGAAAAGAGAACAGGCAAGTCATCCTGAGGAATTGGTTAGTGGTGTTAGCAGAAGGAAAAACAGACACTCCCCAGTTCTGTCATATTTTATTAGGAAGGAGATAGTTGGCAGGAAACAAGAAGCCCTGACCCTGGTAGATTACAGGGTCCCTTGGCACAGGAAGCAGTTTTCCTCCACCAGGAAGAACAGCACAGAGCTCATGTGACAGAGAAGGGATGAAGGAGGCATCTGGGATTCATTACCAAAATAGCTAAAACCTTCACCAACTGATAGATGAGACTTATAGGAAAGAGACAATTCCTGAGAGTGTAATCAGAGATAGCAGAAAACAAAAGTTTTTAAATTGATTTTTTAATTCTTATTCCTTTTTTATATGCACTGGTGTCTTGCCTGCATGTATGTCTGTGTGAGGGTGTCGGATCCCCTGGAGCTGGAGTTACAGACAGTTGTGAGCTGCCATGTGGGTGCTGGGAATTGAACCCAGGTCCTCTGGAAGACGTCACTGTTCTTAACCCCTGGGCCATCTCTCCAGCCCCGGAAAACATATTTTACAATGTAGAGTTAAGCAACCAGTATATTAAAATACTGAACTTTAATTTTTATTGTCCACTACTATATCCCACATGTTACTATTTAAAAGAAAGAAAAAACAAAACCAAACCAAAAAGCCAACAAGAAATGTTTGTGTGTATGAGTGTTTTGTCTGCATGTGTATGTCTGTGTACCAGGCCTGGTGCCTACAGAGGCCAGAAGAGGGCACTGGACCTCCTGGATTCGGGGTTATAGAGGGTTGGGTACAGGGAATTGGACATGGGTTCTCTGGAAGAGCAGCCATCGCTCTTCACTGCTGAGCCATCTCCCCTGCCCTCAAGTTTTTCACTTATTTATTATCTACTGAATCCTCTTGCTGGCCTCGGATTTTGCTTTTAAGTAAAGACTCCAAGAAAGTCGGTGCCATCCCATTCGGTAGGCTCCTGAATGCTATGACTAGAGGAACTGGTAATATCTAATGCTTGGCTTATTGATGAAATAATCATAATCACTGAACCAGAGAAGTGAAAGCTGGTCTATTTCTGAATTCCAAACTAAGGTCTTGGACCAGCTGGACAGTTCTCCAGAGTGTTCCTTTTTTTTTTTTTTTCCTTCAAAGGTTATAGTAGTGGGGCTGGAGAGATGGCTCAGTGGTTAAAAGCACTGTCTGCTCTTCCAAAAGACCCGGGATCAATTCCCAGTGCCTACATGGCAGCTCACAACTGTCTGCAGTGCCAATTCCAAGTGATCTGACACTTTCACAGTATTGCACATTACTTTCACAGTAATGTGCATAAATAAAATTAAATAATTTTTAAAAAGGTTATAGCAGTGATAGCTTAGAAGCAAAGATTTCTATCTAGTATAAAGAATAAGGACCTAAAAGCCAGCTTCTCCTTTACACCGGTTTCCAAACCAAACCCAGCTTCTTAAGTCACACCCTTTCTTCATGGCCACTTTGCTCATCCCCCCTCTGCCCACTCAAGGTGGACAAGTTCTTGCTATGACCTTTCCTCCTGGTACACACCTGTGGGCTTCTTGGTGGCCCATGTCCTAGCACTTAAGATCTGGGAGAGACCCACACAACAGCGTTGTCAGCTGGCTGTGACATTTTATCTAGCTGATGCCCTCTGAATTACTTCAGTCTTCTTACATCTCAGCACCGAGAGTTCTTCATGGAAGACCACCACTGGGGCTGGGCCTGGGAACCTGATCCTAAGGGAGGGCCAGGGCAAGGCTGTGAACCACAACGTTCATGTTGAGCAATCTCTAAATACAAAGAGACAGACCGCCAAGGAGGGTGGGTGCCTTGTAAGTCTAGGAACAGGCTAAAAACAGGCTGGAACTGGACAGTGGTCAGCCTGCCTGGCTACCTCTCCTAGGAAAAGGAGATTGCCTCATGCCAGAGCAGAAAGAATCCTCTCTCCCAGAGAACAGAGTGGTTGGGGAGCTGAGAGAGACTCTGAACAGAGGAGTTTATTTCTGATACCAAAGAGCAGAAATTACCCAGAGGTACCAAACTTGGCAGGAACAGGCGGTTGGAGTACCATACCTTCAGAACTCAAGGAACACAAAGGTTTTCCCTTACTAACCAGCACAGAAGCAAAACAACCTTAGCAGGCAAGAATTGTGCATCAGTCTTACCCTGGGAAAACACATTCCCCATATTCTCCTGCCTGCTGTCCCTACTGAGATTCCTCCGAGCCAGGTTCTGACATCCCCACTCCTCCAGGATGAGGGACACGGCCATGTCCTCGATCTTCACCATTGCCTGAAATAACAGGAGATCCCCACACTCAGCTCCCTGCAACATCAGGGACAGTCCTACTGCCCAAAGCTGAGGTCAAGGACAGAGCTGATTGCAGGACTGTGGGACACCAGGAGAGAACACGTGCCCAACCCTGATGGACTGAAGGGGTTATGTCGGAAGGACACTAAAATCGAGGGGAGTGGGGCTTTTCTGGGCACCAAGAGCAAGTGACCTGGTTGAGGCTCATGAGAGGTGCTCCAGAAAGGGCAGATACAGGATCTCAGGAGGGAAGAGGGGCCCGTGGCTCACCTGGGAATCTGCAGTCAATAGTGCAGATGCCATCGCTTGGTCTCTGGGATTCCCCTCATGATGAGGGGCAGGAACATGAGTGGCAGGGACAGCTGAGGAGGAGAAAGGGGCTGTGAGTAAAATGGCTCTTCTCTGAGCCTCCCTCAGTGAAGAACCCAGCACTCTCCTTCCTACACCAGCAAATTCACTGCTTGATGTTCCGCTACTAAAAAGATAGCTCCAAAGGATACAGTTGACTGGAAGACTTCAGCTTCTCCAAGGCCTCTAGTCTTAAATTTGAACCACATGGAGCTCACAGAAGGGTCCAAACTTTACAAGGAGAAAAGTGAGGCCCTGAAGAGGTTGCGACTGTGTAATGTCACTCAGCTTAGAATGGTAGGTGCAGTCTAAAACCAGCTTCCTATCTCAGCTTGGGGATCAGTGGCTGCAAGTCTGGCACCCAGGGCACCAGGCTCCCGTTTCTGGGTACACCTGTGGACAACACATCTTCAAGATCACAGAGCACTGCGAATGATAGGGGAAGAAAGGGACCTCCACACTTCTAAGCACCTGCCTGCCATTCTGACCCTTTTTCCCCTCTTACTTGGTCACGGAAGCTGTTTGATAAAACATACACTGTTTGAATGCTGATGAGACAAATGTAGAAAGGTATGGGCCAACACACATAACAAAGGCAGCTGTAGCACAGCTTGTGACTATCAGCTATATGCAGTGAGTAATGAGATTTTAAAAAATCAGCTGTAAAGTTCAAATTTCTCCTTTTCCTTTCCTTTGCCAAGCATCATTAGAGTTGGAAACATTATTGGTACACAGAGATGGTACCAAGCTGCTAAGGACCAAAGAAACACACCACTCAATCACTACACCTTAGAGCTGTTACCACCCATGAGGCAAAATACACACAAGAACAAGACCCTAACACTTAGGCAGTCCAGAGTTAGGACATAAGACAGAACAAGACAGAGAGGAAGTTGAGAGCAAACCATGCCTTGATTTCTTCAAGAACAATTTAGTAAGTAACAACTCTAGCTGCGCTCTCTAAATCCATTTCCCTAGCTACCTGAAGCATCAATCTGGATTACCTGCTCAATGTCCTCTCCTGCTGACCCCTAATGACACCGTTGTACCTTCCACCTGTGGAGTCCCAGAAGGGAATCGACACAGGTGGAGTTAAACCTAGAAAACCGTACTGTCTGCTGCTGTCTTCCAGGACGTCTGGGGGAGAATGCTCCTTTAAGCTCTGCTCTCTAATATTCCCACTCTAAATGACCTCACAAATAAAGACATGGTAAAAGAACACACTTTAACTCTTCTGTAATTCTTTAACAAACTTAAAAAGAAAAAAAAAAAAGACTCTGTATGTGTGTGAGTGTGTGTGTGTGTTTGAGTGCTCAAGTGCCCTTGGAGGCCAGAAAAAGGCATCAGATCCCCTGAAGCAGGAGATAACAGGCAGATATGAGTGGCCTGATGTAGGTGAACTCTGGTCCTCTGTGAGGACAGCAAGATCTCTTAACTACTGAGCCTTTGGCAATTGTTCTGATATTCTATGTACTTGCTTTATTTCAGACTCTCATAAAATCATGGTCTGGTCTATTTCTTTAAAGTGGGCAAGGGAACCAACCAAATGTAATAGATTTCAATAGAAATAAATCCTGAACTAATATTGTTTTCATTTCCTCAGCCAAAAAGGAAAATTGTTCCCATTCTCTTCCCTTTGGTAATTTTAAAAGTAACCTTGAAAACAATGTTAAAAAACATTTTATGCTGGGAGGTAATGGCACATGACTTCATTCACAGCGCACTTGGGAGGGGGAGGCAGGTGGATCTCTGAGGCCAGCCTGGTCTACAGAGGGAGTTCCAGGACAGCCAGGGCTACACAGAGAAACCCTGTTTCAAAAAACCAACAAAAAACCCCACAAAATGTATATCTATGATCATTAGAAAGATTTATGACCCCTATAAATATTTAAGAAATGCTAGCTAAGTGGGGTGTGATGGTGCACACCTGTAATCCCAGCACTCAGGGAGGCAGAGGCAAGTGGATCTCTGTGAGTTCGAGGCCAGCCTGGTCTACAAAGCAAGTCCAGAACAGCCAAGGCTATACAGAGAAACCCTGTCTTGAAATAAAAAGAAAAGAAATGCTAACTAAAGTGTTTCAAGACCCAGACTGGAAGCCAGGCCTGGTGGTGCACGCCTGTCGTCCTAGCACTCAGGAGCCTGAGCCATGAGGACTGCAAGTTTGAAGCCAGCCTCGGACCACAGAGCCAGACCTTGCCTCAAAACAAACCAGTCAGGCTGGAAATACTATACCCTCCACCCAGAACCGGGCTGGACATCAGGGATGCGCATAGCTCATCAGGGACGCACACATAACCGCGGTGTGCCAGTCCGTGAGCACATGGCGCCCAGCTCACCTGCCTCCCTAGGGGACACTCAGCCTAAGGCTGGGCCATGAGCTCGCTGTGACAGGTGTACTGCTCTACAGTGACTTAGCGGGCCACGGTGCGTCGGCACCACGGGGAGCCTCGCCCCTCTCTTGAGAAGGAGAGGGCAGAAATCGGGGTGTGTGAGGGAGGAGCACTGGGAGGAGAGGGCTGCGAGAAGGATGTAAAGTAAATAAGTAAATTTAATAATAAAAAGGCAGATAATCAAAAAAGCATGCTTCTTGATGGAGTTAGCTGGTGACATGGAAAGAGGTACCTGCATCTTGGATCCTTTATTTCCCACCTTTTCTTTTGAGGGGAGGGGGCAAGGTCTCACCTCCTCAATGGCCTTGGCTGCTGGGCTGCCCTCAAACTTGCTGTGAAGCTGAGGATGACCTTGAGATACTGACCCCCGCCTTCCACCAAGTCCTGAGTGTTACAAGTGCACCAGGCCTGCCTTTTTGTTTTGCTTTTGAGTCAGGATCTTGCTATGTGCCCATGGCTGACCTGAAACTCACTGTGTATACCAGGCTGTCCTCGTACACAGAGACCTCCACGCTTCTGCCTCCAGTGTGGCACTAAAGGAGCTGCCACTCCTCATTTGATGAGTGCTGGGGATGGAACCTAGCACCTCATGTGTGACAGGCTCTTTCAACTAAGCCCCATCTTTAACTCAACAGTTGCTGTTTCTCCACGCACGAACCAGCTTCTTACCTCGGGATGGCAAGAGACGAGGCTTCCTAGACGAATGCTTGAAATGAGACCGGCCAGCTTCATGACGGTCAAAGCTTGAGGACTCCTGAACTGGATCCAGAGGCACCACCCCCCTGGCAAGCATCTCAGGCCCATGAACTTGACCTGGGACCTGAGGGGGAAAATGGTTTCCAGGTAGAACTTCTGATTGGCCTTGAACTCCTAATCCTCCTGCTCCAGCATGCCAAATGTTAGAATTATAGGCACGAAGCACTATGCCTGGCCCAGTAAATAACTTATAAAGTAGAATTTAGAAATATTAAAGAAAAGCTATTTAGGGGGCTGGAGAGATGGCTCAGAGGTTAGGAGCACAGGCTGCTCTTCCAGAGGTCCTGAGTTCAATTCCCAGCAACCACATGGTGGCTCACAACCATCTATAGTGAGATCTTGTGCCCTCTTCTGGTGTGCAGGTATACATGCAGACAGAACACTGTATACATAATAAATAAATCTTTAAAAACAAAAAAAGCCATTTAATGTATGCCAATGGATGCTGAAAGCGAAGGGCCTATCCTCCCTCCCTCCCTCCTTTCCCCTCTCCGGAGCTCCCTTCCTCTGGTCAGCCATTGAACCCAGAGCCTCACAAATGCCATGCTTAGGTTCTAGAACTGAGCTGCACTGCCCAGCTTCCAGAATTCTTTGAAAGAGCCCAGCAGAGCAGTATGTAAAAGAAACTGCCCAAACACTCCCAACTCTCTCTGAGCCTACTCGAGTGGATGCCCGTTTCCTAAACGACAGGTGGCAGCTCTTCTTACCTGCTGTCCCGACAGGTCAAGTTCCAGGTCCTCCAGGAGTGTCACGGCCTCCTCCCCGCTGTCCGGCCGGTACTCCTGCAGCCAGACTTGCAGCTCTTTGGGCAAAATGGACAGGAACTGCTCCAGTACCAACAGCTCCAGGATCTGCTCCTTGGTGTTGACTTCTGGTCGAAGCCACTGATGGCAAAGTTCCTTCAGTCGATTCAGAGCTTCCCGAGGCCCAAAAGTGTTCTGATAACAGAAGCGCCTGAACCGCTGGCGGAATACCTCTGGGTCAGCTGGCGGTGTCTCCTGCAGGCTGGAGTCCTGCCCCCACATGTGGTCTTCCTCATCTTCTTCTTCCACCTTCACGATGACTATGCCATCCTTCTCCTGTGCAGCCTGTGGGGACAGACCCATGGCTTCCCTTGACTCAGCAGTCATCATTCAGGCTCAGGGAACTGGTGGGGTCCAACAGGATCAGGCTGCCGTTTCTGTCCTAGCAACTGTTCTCTATTGGTTTCTGCACTATTCCTGAAGCTGAAAAGCAAAAAGAAGACACTATAAAAAGAGACCCTGGGCTCAAAGTCCTGCCAGTCTAGCATTCTCAGTGAGCTCCATGCTAGCGGGAGACACTGCCTCAAAAAACCGAGCAAGACAACAAACACCCAAGGCTGTCTTCCAGCCCCCATATGCACCCACACATACATGAGAATGTGCACGTGTGCACATACAAAGTGGCCTGTGCTGCCTATCCTCCACACAAGGCTACATATCAAGACACTAACAACGTCTCTAAAAATAAGGAGAGAACCACCAGAAAGCAGCACTGGCCTCGGCGTCACTTCTGATATTAAGGTCTGCAAATAGAAACCTTCCATGGTGGCTCTAATCTTAGGGTGTTTGCCTGTAGTCAGAGCACTGTCCTTCCAGAGACAGAAGGCGAGGAAATGGGGGCATTTACAGAAGTAAGTCCAGTGGGTGTCAAGGGCCAGGCTAAGCATAGCACAGGAGCCATCTCCTCCCCAATGCCCAAAGCCTGGCAGGCAGGAAGATGTCAGTGTGTACACAGCAGATGTAACTGATGTCTAGAATCCTCCTATCCTCAGGAGCAGATGTGTGCCTACGCTGAAGACACAGGGCCCATTACTGTAGCATCTCACTACCTTCATTGCTTTATGAGTGCTGTGGTGGCCTACGGTGGCAGTTTCCTTTAGGGAACACAGAAAGCAGCCAACAGAGTATATTTTAAAAGAAAGGGCTAAGGATCTGGCATGGTTAACAGAGCACTTGCCTAGCATGCACACAAGGCCACGGGTTCACTCTATAGCTTTGTATAAACCAGATATGATGACACACTTGTAATCCTAGCATCTAGGACCACCAGGAGTTCAAGGTCATCCTTAGCTCTGTGGCAAGTTCAGAGCCAGTCTGGATTACCTGAGATCCATTTGAGAGGAAAAGAGAAAATGGGGGAAGAGTGCTTGTAGAAGAGTCAAGTGTGGAAGCCGACAATTTTTGGGAACTTGAGAGGCAGAGACAAGAGAATCAGGAACTCAACCTGAGAACAGTTCCAGGCCAGCCTTGGCAGTAGGAAGCTATCCTAAAAAACAAACAAACAAAAAACAAACAAAAAAAAACCCAAGAGCTGGGCATGGTGGCACTCACCTTTAATCTCAACACTCAGGAGGCATCTCTGAGTTCACAGCCAGCCTGGTCTACAGAGCAAGTTTCAGGGCAGCCAGGGCTACAGAGGGCAACCTTACCTTGGGGGTAGGGGATGGATGAGATAATTTAAGTCACAAAGAAGTCACCTGGTCAGATGGTGAGCTGTCACGTGTCGGGAACCTCACATCTCAGTGGAGCCTCTCTTTTCAACTTGCTTGTTTAGTTTTGGATCCTAGGACATTGCCTTGCTTAACTGGGCTATATTATTCGAAATAGTGGATTATTCCATCTGTCTTCACCTACTCTCATCTTCATATGAGACTGGCAACTTTAAAGATGTGAGGACACTGTTATCAGAGGACTCATGGTGTAAAAACAATGAAAAAAAGAGAATGGCACAGCTAAAGCTCCGCTGACAGCGAAGTCTCAGCCACACAGAGGCAAAACCAAGTAGTGCTCATCCATACCAAGTTAAAAAGCATTAGTGACTAGGAAAGCTGGTGGCTTTAAAAGAGTGTGTGGGGCTCTGGATATATCTTAGTTCTAGAGTGCTTTCCAGTGTGACTAAGTGAGGAGCTGAGTCCATGGTACCTAAAAACAATTATAAAAGCATATGTTTGAAGTACTGCCAGAAACCCAATTATCAATTACTCTGGAAATCATCTTTAACAAGTACCTGCTTCTTGAAAACAATAATTGGTGTGTATGTGTGCCTTCATGGGTTATGTGCGTCACATATGTGCAGGTGCCTGAGAGGCCAGAGAGAGCACTGGATCTACGTGTGTGGGGGCTGAACCTGGGCCCTTTACAGGAGTGGAAGCACTTAAACTTGGAGCCATCTCTGATAGCCTCAATGTGTCCATTCTCTACAACCTTGGAACTCTGGGGCTGGAGAGATGTCTCTGTAGTTAGGAGCACCTGCTATGCCATCATGAGGATTGGGGTTTAAATTTCAGCACTGACATCACAAGATGAGAGTTGTATGTACCTGACATACACACACACACACACACACACACACACACACACACACACACCTTTAAAAAACAAACTTGGAACTTTTTCTAGCTCATTAAAAAATCTCCCAAATGAATTTCAATGGAAAGTTGTCATATATTCATTTATTTCTAACACACACACACCCCCGCCACAGTGCATGTGTGGCGGTCACAGGATGACTCTACCACGTGTCACGGGGATTGCTCAGGTTGTCAGGCTTGGTGGCAAGTGCATTTACCTGCTGAGCCACTTCCCCAGCTTTGAACTGAAGTCTTTGCAATAGAAACCTTTACTGTTCCATGACACTTTAAATCTTATGCTAGGGGCTGATGAGATGGCTCTGTGGTTACAGCTCTAATTGCCAAGCCTGAGGATACAAGCTCCTTCCCTGGTACCCACAAGGTGAACGGAGAAAAGCTGTCTTTGATCTCCACAAGCTGTCTTTGATCACCCCCACCTTCCCACAGTCACCTCCCTCCTCTCCTCCCCCACCTTATCACCCCTCCCCTTCCCTTCCCGTCCCTCAGAAATAAATGTCAAATAAAAAAGGAATCTTACACTTGTTGGGAGTGCTGTGATTGGAGTTGTCCCCCACTATTAAAAGCAGGGACAACTGTGTGATTTGCTGTAACACATTATCAGAAGCATTAATTTTAAAAAATCATGAAAAATAAAAACAGACTTGCGGACGTTTGAACTGTGATAAGTACTCAGCATGGAGAGGGATTCCTGAGCTGCTGAGTACGGTGGCTGCGCTTCTCCATCAACTTACTGGTCTCTGCAAGTGTTGCCTTTCTTTACACAGACACCCAAACCAAGCATCTTGGTGCCCAAGATGGCTCAGTGGGCAAAGGCAGTGGCCATTAAGCCTGGGACCCACATGGTAGAAAGAACAGATTCCGGCACACTGTTCTCTGGCCTCAACCTCCACACACAAATACATAAATTAATTTAATTAAAAAAATTGAAAAACCCAACAAAACAAAACGTTTCAGAAACAGACCATCCAAGTGTTTCACAGCGAATTAAACCAACAGCTTTTCAAGTGAAATTAATTTTTATGCTTATACAAGGCGGGGCCAAACCCACAGCCTAGTGTATGCTAGGAAGGGCTCTACTACTGAGCATACCCCAGCCAAAGCCAATACTTTTAAACTAGGAAAGCATTTTTAATTACACGGTTCTCACTCAAAACTACTGATGAGATTTGTAGAAATGGGATCGTGTACATGTATTAACATGAAAATTATCTTCCAGTAGTAATCAACAAAACCCTGAGAACATATGCGGTATGCAAATTTTTGTAAGTGAGCAGGCTTACACAAATTTATTGTAAATTACATTTGTGTGTACTCACACATTCACTGCCTCAGTCAGCGAGCTACCGAAGGTCAGAGGGTAACTTCTGAGCTTCTTCTACCACGTGGGTCTGGAGGATTGACCTCAGGTCCACCAGGCTGGGCACCTTTACCAGCTGAGGCACTGCACTGGTTCTCAGCAGTAGAGGACAGTCTTCCCAGCTGCTGTTTTGTTTTCAGGTGTTTCAGTTCAGTGATGATTTCTTTCCGTCCCAATACACACAACACCAAGGTCAGTGACTGTGCGACACACGCCACCTCAGCACTCACCCCACTCCTCTGTCCAGCCCTACTGCATTCTTCCTGCTAGTGCTCATTCCCCTGAGCACCTGCCATGACCAACGGTCTTCACTCTTGCTGTGAACAACTCCATTTATTAACTCTGTCGGTCCACGTTTTATTCACCCTTCAAGATGTGCATTGCCTTCTGATTGCTCTAGCTTACGCAAGGAGATGGGAAGTTGAGCTGTGTGTGTGGGGAGAACCACCCCTGCCGCGAACAGTGAGCAGCCCAGGGAGAATTCCACTAGTTCCTCCTTGCACAGGCTTACATTAACAGCTCACCTTCTTTGACTCCTCCCTCCTCACACAGCTCTCCAAGAGCCAGAGTGAAGTACTTTTGAGACAGGGTCAGATTCTGTAGCCTCTACATAATATCTATGGCTGAGGATGACCTTTAACTTCTGATCCTCCTGCCTCCACCTCCTGAGTGCTGGAATTACAGGTGTGTGCCAGCACACCTGTTTTAGGCGGCGCTGGGGATGGAACCCAGGGCTTCACGCATGCTAGGCAAGCACTCTACCCACTGCTACGTCCACAACTCGCTGAGTGAAGTAACCCTTTTTTATATTTATTGTCCAATCCAATCCAAGCTCAAGTCAGGCTTTTCTGGTGCTCCACCACTATCTTCTACCCACAAGGTACTTGCTACCTTACTCTGATTACTGCCCCTAAAACGTTACAGCTTCTGTCAGTGGGTTCAACTGTTTCCACTTTCCCACTCCACAAGCCCTTCCCTACTCAGCAGAGCGAGTCTACACCCAGCACCTCAGTCACGCTCTGCCAGTTCTACCTTTTCAAATCCCACTTTATCTTACAAACCTGAGCTGAGGTGCCACTTGTCCATCACTGATGCACATGAGCATTACAGGAGGAGTGAGAATGGCAACCAATATTTGCAGGTGCCAAATAACATACTGAGTGCTTCACTAGACCGCACACCAACAGTGGGTCTGAAGAGGAAGCTCTGATTATCATCTTGCCTTGCAATGTTAAGCTGCAGTTTACAAATATTAAACTACTTACCTAAGCTCTAAGAGCAAGCAAATGCTAGAGTAGGACCTGAAACTAAACTGTCACATCTCAGGGCAAGCTCTCTTTTAATTTAGGTTTTTTGTTTTCCGGCATGAGCATGGTGTGTCTGTATGTGGAGGCTAGAGGCTGACAATGGGTGTCTTCTTCAGTTGCTCTCTACTTTGAGGCAGGGTCTCTCACTTGAACCCAGAGCTGATACAGCGAGGCTAGCTGGCCAGCTTGCTCTGGGGGTCACTGTTCTCAAGGCTGGGATTAGGCACATGGCCCTCACCTGGGATTTCACATGGGAGCTAGGAATCCAAGCTCAGGTCCTCATGCTTATACAACCAGCACCTTTCCAGTCGAACTACCTCCCCAGCCCACGAATTACCGTAATTATTTCTGCAGGACTAGGGATCAAACATAGGACCTGGTGCGTGCTATGCAAGTGTGCAAACCCACCCCGAGCACTCTTTTAAGAGAAATGCATGACAGAAGGATCAAAAGTTCCAGATCTGTTTGGATTACAAAGTGAGTTCAGTGCCAGCCAGGACAACTTGGTAAGACCCTGTCTGAAATGAAAATATGAGCCAGGTTTGGAGGCACAAACTTGTAATCTCAACTCTTGGGAGGTAGAAGCAGGAAGATAAGGAGCTCACTGCCATCCTACCCTACACGAGACAGAACATAAAAGTCAAAAATAAAACAAAACCCAACAACAAAAACCCCCAAATATCAACAAAACAAGTACAAAATACAAAAAGGCCAGGGGTGCCAGTCAGTGGCAGAGTACACAAGGTCTAAGGCCCTGCCCTGAGCCAAACAACACTTGTTGAATTTACATTACTACTTTTTTCTGTGTTCAATGTGTCTTCAAATTAAACAAAATAACTTATGAAATTCTGAAAAAACAAAACAAAACAAAACAGTTCTGGTACTTAGCAGGCACTGGGAAGTCTTACTTTTTAAAAATGAACTTGGGTGACAGTGTGCCTGTCTAACATATGTGGGCTCAACCTCTGTACATATAACACGAACAAGCCAGGTGTGGGGGAACATGCCAGTATTTCCTGCACTTCAGAGGTGGGGGAAGAAGGGTCTAGAGCATAGGGCCAGTCTTGGCTACACAGTGAATCTGAGGCTAGACAGGGATACTTGAGAACTGGTCAGAAAACATTTAAAAAGTAAATCCTATGTACTGCACAATGTAACTGCACACTGTAATTAGCAGTGGAAGAAATCCTGTAACAGTAAAGGTGGCATGGCCTGGGACAAATGAATTATGTCCCCTGCAAATAAGTCACACATCCCTGAGTGGTTTCCAGTATTCTTACTAGCAATGGGGGAAGGGACAGAGGAGGAGGGGCAGAACACCACCTTTGGGGTTCCTCTGAGATGAAACACATTCTGACATATTATCTCCTTTAGAAAAAGATGACCATTTATCAACCAGACCCCTAAAGAAAAAATAAGTAACATTCCAACGAGAAATGACTCAGGGCACCAAGCTCGGTTTATTTCAAAAGTTCTTTTCTCAAAGTCCATTACTTCTTCTATGGCATAGTCTTGCAAGTTTAAATAAATCATCCTCTATCCACCACTCCCCTTTTTTCAACAGATAAATAAAACTTTATAATATGAAAAGGCTGTTCTTAAAAGACAGCGCATGGCCTAGTGTGGTGTCAATCGCCTGTAATCCCAGCACTCCAGAGGCAGTGGCTAGAATGCCAAGGTCAGCCAGGGCTAGAGAGAGGACCCCCGCCCTTTTAAGGATACCTAAAGAATATCAATACCAGATGGCTTGGTGGCACATTCGGATAATTTCAGCACTCTGGGAGGCAGAGGCAGGCAGATCTCTGTAAGTTCGAGGCCAGCCTGGTCTACAAAGGGAATCCAGGACAGCCAAACACAGAAAAACCCTGTCTAGAAGAAAACAAACAAAAAAAGAATATCACAGAATAAAAAGCTAAGATGTAAGATTTAGTACACTGGCCTGGTTGTATTTAAATAGGGTCTAAACCATCTGAAAAATTTCTAGATGGAGAGATTAAGCAGAGAATCAACAAAAGATAACAGTATTTAGTAGCAGGCATTTCTGTAATTTAAGAAACTGAATAAAGTAGCGAGTGAGACTCTTGTGTGGTAATTCAAAGAGGACACAAAGCTGAAGAAAGCATCTGGATAAATCTTCACTATAGTTCCCTGTGATAAGGTATTTCCCCGTATTTGGCCAGCTTTTCTAGTAACTTCACTTGTTGATGTGGTTACAATGAATTCTTCACAATTCAACATTTATTGACTGCCTCCAATTAGCCTAGCACTGCCCTGTACAATAAATGCTTTCTTTGGTCCCAAGCCATGGCACGGCCACTCTCAAAGTCAAAATGTGTGTGTCTGTGTGAAGAGAGGGGAAGGGAGGAGAGTGTCATGCTAAAGAACTTTTTTTTTTAAGGTATATTTACCAACTCCACTACTTTCAAATTTGGAAGAGTCTCTTTGAGCAGAGACAGTTTTAATAATAAAATGTCTCATCCAAGGTCATTACGCTGATCAGTGTGATTTCCTCCCGTTCTCGCCCACTCCAATCCCGCAAGGTGAACTAAAAACCCCACCTAATCTCCCAGACAGCACGTTTTTAAAAAGCTTAAGCCAGCAAGGGCCTCCGAAGCATTCCATAAAAGTGACAGCCGGCTGTTACTCTCTACTAGACCTTTAACCACACTGTCAAGCTTCCAGCGCCTTCACTCAGTGATGGGAGCTGGTGAGGCAGAAAAGCAGGTGATCTGGAAACGTCTGCGGAACCTCAAAACTTGTACAGGGCTCAAGGTCTTCCGCATCGTTCACCTCACGATCCTCAAGGACCCAGGGCAGGGATGGGACGGGGGAGCGATGGACAGCAGTAGAACGAAAACCACACCACACTTTCTCCGCAATCACAGCAAATGGCGACGGAGGAAGCGGGAGAGGAATCCAGACACAGGGACCACGTTCACTCGTGATCTCGTCCTCAGAAACGTCCTTCGAGCATGAGGACACGAAAGCGTTCCCTACCGACGCAGGGATGCGAGCCCTGCCGCGACCCAGCAGGGCTCCTTGCCAAGCCCCCCGGTGGTCACACGGCCCACCCTCAAGGCCCGCCCGTCCTCGCGAGAGTCCGCCATGAGACTCACCCTGAGTCTCCGGAGCGGCCTGGGGACGCCGGGGACCGCGCACGGCCGACTCCCGGGCTCAACCCGGCCGAAGGGCACCGCACACCGGCCTAGGCCCTCCCAACGCCTCGCCACAGACACAATGAGTCACAAAGACCGGAAGTAACTCGGCATCTCATCTTCCGGGACCGCGCTGAGCTTCCGGGTTCTCTCTAGGAACTGGGAGGACTTCGCATCTCCGTTTCCGAAGACTCGGGGACTCTTGCCCTGAGTCCCTGCTCCCCCAACCCAAGTCCCTGTCTCTCCGTCTTCAATTCCAGAGGCGACAGTGGAAATGAAGTGGTTCTGTTCAGGGTGTCCAGTTTTTCCTGATGCAGTGTCTTCAGCTCTATGTTTGTACTTTCTCCTGGCCTTTTCCATCCTGGGCAGTAATTACAGTTATTATCTAGCAGAAGAGCTGAAGCAAGGGTGTGGACAGAGGAAGATCAAAGCTAAGCCAGGGTGGCTGGTTTCACAAATCAGCCCTGGTTAGGTGTGCCAACTGAGTGCGTGGTGTTTTCAAGTACTTGGCCCGTGGACAAAAAAAGGCTGTCTTTCGGTAAACAAGTCATTTACACGGGTTCAGAGCTTTGCTCATGTAGAGTATGCTATTATAGCAGTTTACAAGGATTTTTTTTTCAGGGGAATCACAGACAGTTTTACCTTCAAGGTGTTTTCCTAACCCACAATTACTGCCTTCAACACTTTGCTTTTGGCAAATACAGAAATAAGGCCCCACCTTCTATAAGGCTCTACATTTCAAAAGTCCACAAGAGCAAGATCATACCCACAAGCTGGACTGCTTAGGGGAGGTAACGTCATGAAAAACAAAACAACTACTAAACTAAAAGAGCAATTGCAATGTCGTTAATGGGAAATCACACCCAACAAGGAGACAGCCATTCACCTGGAGAAGAGAAACCTTTATTCACACATAGACCAATCTTTGAAGGGTCCAGGCCTTACAGCTTTTTGTAAGTTAGGCAGCCTCTGTGACAATCTGAGAGTGGCCTCTGGGTCCCTTAATCATTTCAGGGAATTTAGGCAGGCAGGTTTACAGGGACAGATAGTTATGTAGGTTAGCGAATGTTCAAACCCTTGGCAGGCAGCAATAAAACAGAAGCATTTGCAAATAACATGTTTTGCCTGGTAGAAGTGTTTTTCTCTTAGCAAACAGAAATGCTATCTGCAAACTTCTTTCTAGGCAGCTTCTACCAAGTGTTTGTTTTTCCCAGATGAGAAGTAGGGGCTCCCCCACCCCTAAGCAAACAGAACTTCAGTAAAAACTTTAGCTCACTTACAGCTTTTAGGCTAATTATTATTGTTATTTTGAGACTGTTTTTCTGTGTAGCCCTGGCTGTCCCAGAACTGACTCTATAGACCGAGTGGCCTCAAACTCCCAGAGATCCGCCTGCCTCTGTTTCCGGACTGCTAGGATTAAAGGCATAAGATTTTCATTAAGCCACCACAGCATACTGTTGGGTGCAAATTCATATCATTTCTTACCAGTGTCATTAAAGGAAATAGCAAAATGGAGAAAAATAACAACCCAAAATCCTTCCAGCCTAATATGACGGAAATGAGCTGGGAAATCATTCTAGATTTATTTTACGTGTTTTAGAAAGTGTTTTGCTGGCGTGCATACGTGCGTGTGTACTGTGTGCATGGAAGGTGTCCACGGAGGTCACGGAGGTCAGAAGAAGGAGTCTGGACCCCCTGGAACTGGACTTACAGACTGTTGTGAGCCACCATGCGGGTGCCGGGAATCAAACCCAGGCCCCCTGTGAGAGTGCTGGTTTAACCTTGCAGCCGTTTCTCTAGCCCGATACATTGAACTTGCTGAAGGCTTTGCTGTAGGACACAGGCATGCCTGCAACGAAGCTTCACACTGCGATGCTCTAATTCTGTTATATAATCTCTCACATTTACTCAGAAAACAGTGCTATTTATTTATTTATTTATTTATTTATTTATTTTAGTAAACCTAAGAGAACTCCTTGTCCTTGATGCTACTTGATGACCATATAACCTTTCCCCAGTTCTCATCTCCCTCAGTTCCAGGCATTAGAAGGAGAGCGGAGTGGCACTACGGTGTCTTTTCCTCTAGGATAGTGTTTTATTCAGGGTTTCTATTGCTGTGATAAAACATCATGAGCAAAAACCAGTTGGAAAGGGTTTATTTGACTCACATTTCCACAGCACTGAACGTCACTGAAGGAATCAGGACAGGACCTCAAACAGGGCAGGATCCTGGAGGCAGGAGCTGATGCAGAAGCCATGGAAGGTGCTGCTCACTGGCTTGCTCTCCTTGTCTTGTTCAACCTTTCTTATAGAGCCCAGGACCACCAGCCCAGGAACGGAAACACCCACCATGGGCTGAGCCCTTCCTCATCAATCGCTAATTAAGAAAATGCTGTACAGCTGGATGTTATGGAGGCCTTTTCTCAACTGAGGTTCCCTCCTTTCGGATAACTCTAGTTTGTGTGTCAAGTTGACATAAGACTAGCACAGGTATCATGAAGGAGCATTCTTGACACCTCTAAGTGCTACTCAAACACTGGTTCATAGAGTAGCTAGCAGGTGTGTGTGTGTGTGTGTGTGTGTGTGTGTGCGTGTGCGTGTGTGTGTGTAAATGTGCATCCCAGGCTTCCAATGAATATGCATGTGTCTGAGGAGGTCCTCAGATTCCTGAGAGTTACAGGGAGCTGAGTTACAGGCAATTGTGGGCCTCAACATGTGTTCTGGGATCCAAACAGTATCACTTTGCATCTGCAAGGATGATGCAAGGATGGCTCTTTACTGTCTTTACATCTTCTCTGTCTGTCTGTCTGTATCTCTGTTTCTGTGTGTGTGTCTCCCCACCCCCTCCTTGCTCCTTGACAATGAGGCTCTGAGTGGCCTGAAACCCATGATCCTTTTGCTTTAACCTGTGGAGCATTTGTGCTTGTAGGTTTCAGGTTATAGGTTCCCAGCACCAATGTCTGTAGCCTTCAATTGCCTATAACTCCAGCTCCAGGGCATCTAATGCCCTCTTCTGGTCTCTGAGGAAATCAGCATGTATGTGGTATACTCAAACACACAGACACAGACACAGACAGACACACAGACACACACAATTTAAAATAAGAGAGTTACCTATAAAATGGGTAAAGACCACTTGTGTGTCTATGTTTCCAGAGATGACTGGCACATGGGTCAGCAAACTGAGAAGACAATCCCTGAACACCTGTGGTGCTGTCTGTGGGTGTGAGGTCTAGATGGAACAAAAGTGGAAGGAGGAGAAAGCTCACTCTCACATGCAAGCTCAATAATAATAATAATAACAACAACAACAACAACAACACTTCTCTTCCTTCTCCTCTTTGTCTTTCCCCTCCTCTGGGTATGTTCGTGTGTGTGCACGGGCATGCACATGTGTGTTTGTGTGTGTGCACACACAGGTGATTACATGTGCATTTAAGTTCAGGTGTGCTCCTGCCATGGCGTATATGTGGTGGTCAGAGCACAACCTCAGGTGTCCATTATTGCCTTCTACCCTAGTAGAGGTTTGGGCTTTTGTTTTCCTTTTCTTTTTCTTCTTCCTCCTCCACTTCCTTCTCCTCCTCCTGCTCTTCTTCTTCTTATTATTGTTGCTGTTGGTTTTTTTTTTTCCAGACAGCATTTCTCTGTGTGGCCCTGCCCATCCTGGAACTCACTCTGTAGACCAGGCTGGCCTCAAACTCAGATATCCACCTGCCTCTGCCTCCTGAGTGCTGGGATTAAAGGGGTGTGTCACCACACCTGGCTAAGGCAGGTAGATTTAAAAAAAATTATTTATTATTGTTGTTATTGTTGTAGGTGATGGTGGTGTTGGTGGCAGTGGTGATGGTGGTGATGGTGATAGTGGTGGTGGTGGCGGTGGTGGTGATGGTGGTAATGGTGATGGTGGCGGTGGTGATGGTGGTGATGGTGGTGATGGTGGTAATGGTGATGGTGGTGATGGTGGTGGTGGTGGTGATGGTGGTGGTGGTGGTGGTGGTGGTGGTGATGGTGGTAATGGTGGTGGTGGTGGTGGTGGTGATGGTGGTAATGGTGATGGTGGTGATGGTGGTGGTGGTGGTGGTGATGGTGATGGTGGTGATGGTGGTGGTGGTGATGGTGGCGGTGGTGATGGTGGTGATGGAGGTGATGGTGGTGATGGTGGTGATGGTGGTGGTGGTGTGTGTGTGTATGTGATGTGTACATGGAAGGGCATGTGTGTGTTGGCCAGAGGACAGTCCTCCTACTGTAAGTTCCAGGACCGAACTCAGGCCACCGCCAGACTTGTGTAGCAAATACTTTCATATGCTGAGCCATCTCGCTAGCTCAGCAAATGAAGATTTGAATTTCAATCCCTCCCCACTGAGGAGAGTCTCTCTGTCTGTACCATGGGTGTGTGGTTTGAGGAGGAGGTGTTATTTCTTCACACATCTTGATTTCCCTGGCTATAGAAGCTGGCCTGGAAGTAAATTCTTCAGTCAAACTAAACTCCTTGCCCATGTGGCTGTTAATCTGAGTCACCCACCTTGAGATTTGTTGAACGGCTCTTTGTTCATGACATTGAAGAAGTGGCCTTCCCACGCTTTTGGAGGCGGGTGTAGCCATGGTGCGATAGTAAAGCTAACCAAGAGAGAAAGAGGGGGGGCTGGTGACACGCCAGTGGTCCTTCCTCTGATGGTGCAGTGCGCCTTTGCCCTTTCGGGTGAGTTAATGAGTTCCCATTTTCACGGAAGCTTCATCTGACTCCTTGTCTGTCATTTGCTTGTTGGTTAATCTTTATTGCCAACTTCGCCGTCTTGACCAACGGTCTGGGGGTGATGAGTAACAATGTATACTGGTGGGGCTGGCCTCAAAGCGCTGAGGCCAGAGGATTGTTAAATTCAAAGAGTGAATTCAAGGGCAGCCTGGGGGACTTAGGGAGACCCTATGTCAAAACATAAGTTTAAACAAGGGAGCGGGTGGGGCTGAAGAGATGGCTCGGCAGTTAAGAGCACAGACTGCTCTTGCAGAGGATCAGAGTTCAACGTCCACTGGGCAGCTCACAACCCCTGCATCTCCAGGTCCAGGGGATCTAAAACCTTCTTCT